TACTGGAATAAAAATTGTCCCTAAAACTGTTTATTTCTCATCTATCAATAATAGGAAGCCACAGGATAATGCCAAAAACTCATTTAAACAACAGCACAATAAGCATATATAGAGGCCCATGGCAGCAAGCCACAGAAGAAATGCAATGGTCTTTCTAGGGAAGAAAAGCTTACGTACTCACAGGCATCAACTCGGGTGCTGCAGTGCTCCCCAGCTCTTCCTCCACTAGAGGGGGATAAGACGCCACTGCAGAAGGCCTGACCCGACCAGACCCAGGAGGGAAGCGGGCAGCTGAAAAGCCCTGCGAATGGGCTGGCAGCAGACCCAGGCAGAGTAAAGAAAGCAGCTTCACCCTTCACATAACTTAGCAGCAAAGCAGAATTAATTTTAACTCTGGAGGGACAAAAGGGAAAGTCACTGCAGCCCTGAGACACGGTACGGATGACACTCTGCTTCCGAACCGGGCGTCGGCTGGGCGAGCTTAGGCCTGGGTAAGTGGTCAACTGTGTGAGGCTGGATCCTAAAAGACAGGAATTACTAGAAGAATGGTTTTTCAAAGCTACAGGTTCAATCCACTAGCGGATTCAGGAAATCAATTTAGCTAATCATGAGTCACAACTGACAGTTTTCTGGATAGCACAGAATGGAAAACAGCTTAGTATTTAGAACATCAAGTATTTCATTTGGCAAAACCAATCAGTTTGAAAAACATGACATCATTTTTTTTCTTTACATTTGAAATGCAAAGATAAACTTGACCCAAAGTGGTTCTAACAATCCAGCTAGAACAAAAACTTGAAACAAGTTATCTAAAGGGAAACCCTCAGGTTACGTAAAGACTTTCTCAAAACCTGTTACATTGGCCAAAGATTCCATAACCTCACACCAGCAGCAGACAACCAAGACATCAGCAGAAAAATATCAGCTCCCAAGGCTGAACAGCCCCACTAACTCTCCCTGTGAAATCTGGAGGTTCTTTGGAAAACCCCAGTGCTGGTTCTCCAACCTGTGAGAGAGGAACAAGATAACCCAACCTATGCAGTAGAGCTGCTGTCAAGATCCCAGCGAACACGCCCAGCAGCACTCCGGAAACGGGGCTAAGTCGACCCTGAGGTTGCTTTTCTGATTCCCTAACATTCCCAGTCCCAGTGTGGACTCAACACCTCAACAGCAGCCACAGTCATGGTTCCCTCTCCAGGCCAACATGAATGGCAGTGTCTGATCCCTTAGAATTCAGGAGCCAGAGCACAGCACCTTCATTCAAGGACCCACTGAGGACCCCTTCCTCTACACCACATTCAACACTTAGTGCAAATATTCGACTGCTGGACATCCTTTCCTTAGTTTGACTATTCTAATGATCTAATTTGTATTTTCTTATTTGCTCTAAACTCCTTTACACCCACCATTTCCCAAATTGAGTTCGCTATAATGAGATGCAAAGCTACTGACCAAAAAGTTAAGTCCTTGCTATATGTGATTATGCTATAAGCTCCTTTAAATTAATTAATATTCTGGCATTCTTACCACCTAAAACTGTCCTCTCACACCCCTAAAGTCCTCCTTTCCCCAGTAGCTGATTGTATCCCTACCAAGAGCCATTTCAGTTGTGGTATAGTGAGTAAAACCACTGCCTGTGATGGCGCCTCCCACACAGGCACTAGTTCATATCCTGCCTACTCTCCTTTTGATCCAGCCCCATGGGAACAGCCTGGGAACAGGCATGCAGAAAGCCTGAGTCTTTGGGTCCCTGCACCCCCATGGGAGGCCTGGAGGAAGCTCCTGGCTCCTTCTTGACTTGGCTCTGACTCAGCACTGCCCACTGCAGAGATCTGGGGAAGGATCAACGACCAAAAGATCTTTCCCTGTCACTCTTTGAAATAAAATAAATCTTCTCAAGAAATTAAATTAAAATAAAATATTACAAACCCACAAAACAGTCCAGCCTTAATCAACACTGAGAACATACATAAGAACATGTGTAAAAATCACAAACAGCCAGGAATGTAAAGCACTACACTGTATCATCAACCTAAATCCGGCATGGCCTTGGATGAAACAGTTGGCGTTTCTGAGGCAGTTTCCACTCCTATGAAACTGGAACGGTATTTGCCTCCTCCCTGTCCAGAGAGCCCACATTGGCATGCACTCACATATCTGGAGTGCTTTATAAAAGCAATGGATTGTTGTTCCATAAAGCTCTGGAACTTACTGCCAGAAGGCCGGGAAGCCTTGCATAAAAAGCACAACCTTGGGGCAGGTGAATGAAATGTTTCCTTGCTTCTCTTCAGTTGTTCCATTCACATGTGCGCTGGTGGCACTACTACAACATGGTGGGAGTCATCAAGACAGTGAAATGCTGGTCTATTTGGTGGTAATGAACTTGACTGCCAGAATTCTTCACCAGGGGTTACTGAGCCCGAAATGCCTGGTTGAGCTTCCAGAGGCCTATGATGCTCTCCAGCGGCAGACGAAACCACATGTCCAAGAGGGAACAGAGCGCAAGCTAAACCTGGCTCGTGTCAACCAGTCAGCCCCAGGACAGAGGAAAAGGCCCTCCACCATCAGCTCCTGGCTGGAAATGTTACCTGAACAAGCCACTAGGACTCTGTGGGCCTCCATAAAGGGAACATTCACTTCGTCTACTTTAGCTGGATGAAAGGATGAGAAGATACTGATGAAAAGGCTCCTCAGATTGTAATTTTCACTTCCTTTAAACTTACCAATAAATAGTACCTGACCAAAGTCCCATCTGCAGACAGTCCTTATCTAGTTAGCCGGTGACAGCAGGAAAACAAGCAGAGTAAACTAAGGCACATGATTAAAATTCACCTGCAGTCACTCCCCAGCTCCCGGAAGTGCCAAAGCACATCTCCACACACTGGGGAGATGTTAAGGCCACGAGTTCAGTTTCCACCCAGCCCCGGCTGCTCAGCGAGCAATGTTTCTCACTGACAGATGCCTCCCAAATCTCCAAGCACAAAGTGAGAGTTCACAAGGTTAGGCGCATTAATTAGCAGTACTCATTTGGATTCTGTACTCATCAAACACAACAAGCAGCCATTCAATATCTGCCAGTTTGCACTACTCTGAGATCTCTAATTCAAAAATTCAGCCAGAGTATAAAACAAAACCGGAGAAAATAAACTAAAACCTGTCACCATCAGAACGTGCTCCAGAGTACATTAGCAGCTGTAAGCCACAGCACAGGGCCTACTGCAGCCTGCAGCCCAGGGTGTGTGCAATGAGTGTGCAGGTTACGGAAGTGGGGCCCTGCTGCTACCAAAGGGAAAGCAAAGTAGTTCTAAGCACAGACTACTTTTTTGTGCTTTAACAAACTCCTATTAACTCTTTTGGCTGAGCTCTCCATTCATCTGTAATCCTCACAAGAAGAACACAGCATTATACGGTACCCTTTTGAATCCTTTTCAACTCATTGAGTCTATTTCCATACTTCGCATCAACAAACTCTACCTTCCTACATCCAAAATAAACACATTTTATAAGCAATGAAACATTTGCATTTCTGCACAAGCCTAGACTAAAGCCTGGCCATGTTCCTTAACACACAAGCCCTAGGTGAAAAGCACAGGCCAAACTAAAGACAATGTCACTTCCATTCACACAGCTTACAGTGCTACCCTGCCCCGCCTTCGCTGCACAACAGGCTCACCTGTGGGAATTACCATCAGCTAAGCGGCCGGGCCATTCTGAGGCCTGCTCCCTCAGAACCACTGGCAGCCCATCTCAGGCCTTCAGCATTGCATCTGACATACGGCCAGGATATAAAAACTACTGTCAAAGGGCTTTAAGTTCACAGCTTACAGAAGCCCCAGGACACCCCAAATCAGAAAGAGAAACAAACTAACCCTCTCCAGCCATGGGCTGATGGCCACGCCTGCCATGCTCCAACAGTGATCATTCCACCTGCACCCTACCTAGAGTCAGTCTGGTGCCAGTCTGGCACAGAAAACCTAAACACTGGACAAATACTCTCTGATCTGGATGGACACCAAATAGGTCAGTTGATCATGGGCCATCCTGGTTTTTAAGACCAGCTCCAGGAGCTTTGGTGAAATTCAAGTAGCTTTTCAACAGGGGAGCTATGTCAGTCCTTTGTTTGGTACTGTAATGACTCAGATTCCCTGGACAAGCCTAGGAGTTTCGAGTTTTTTCTTTTAAACAATCCTACAAGGAAGTGTGGACAGTCATCCAAGATACTCCCAGGAGCTCCCCTTCCAACTCGCGCAAAGAACATCACCATCTCAAACAACAAAGGGACACAATCCACTCAGGGCCTAGTTCCTCCAACCACACCACTGCTCTAAAAGGCAGCATGAACCCCTCCCTCTCAATATCTCCCTCCCTCCCTCTCTCTCGCTGTCATCTGCTCAAGCCCTCAAACAGCAAACAGACAGAAATGCCTCTTTTACACTTGCAGACACTATGCTGTGGATGCTGGGGAGGAGACCTGGGCCTTTTCCAGCCTCCTTCCCTTCCCCCGCCCCGACCTCCAGTGGAACAAAGAAAAGCTAGAGAAACGTCACTCTCTCAAGCAAGCCTTCCCTGATTAAAACCATAAGGCTCAATTCCCCCAGGGAGGAGAATGAAATTTTCTTGCTGCAGATTTTTACAAGGACTCAAAAGAAAATCTGTGCAGGAAGAGGCAGAGGCTGAAAATCAAGTCCAGCATTCAAAATGGTGAGGCATCCAGAAAGCCAGGTTAACAAAGGATCACACAGCCAGGAGAAGAAACCCACCACACTACCTGCGCCTGGGCTGCAGCGATGGCTTCCGGTTAAACAGGCACACGTCAGTGAGGGTTATAGTGTTTTCAGGATTAAGAAACATATTAAATTCATCTCTTTCAAAGTAAATACACTGCTGAAGCAACCCACATTACCTTGCAGGGTCAGTAGGATCAGGAAACACTTCCTGCCATAACACACACACACACACACACCATGCACACATCAGAGCTATAAACTGTAGGTTCCAACCTGGCTGTCCCGCGCTGGGAATCCATGATAACCCGGGGTCAGAGGCTCGTTCTAAAAGAAAGAAAGAAAAAAAACTTTTAGAAGAAAAAGAAATGTTAAAATAACCAAAGTCATCCAAACTGCCAAATATAATTCGCTGCCCCAGATTCCACAGACCACTGACAGGGAGCGGGACTGGAAGTACAGTAATTACAACACAAACCAGTACCCATATGGGATGCCAGTAACAGTGACTCTGCCCGCTACACTACCACCATATCAGCCCCCTCAATTCTTTTGCTTTTTTAGTTGTATTTATTTGCAAGGCAGTGTTACAGCAAGAGAGAGGAAAGAAGGGACAGACAGATTTTCATCTGCTGGTTCATCTCCCAAATGGCTGCAGCATCCAGGGCTGGGCCAGGCTGAAGCCAGGAGCTTCATCTGAGTCTCCCATGTGGGTGTGGAGGGACCCAAATGCTTGGGCTATCTTCAGCTGCTTTCCCAGGCACATCAGCATGGAGCCAGATCAGAAGTGGAGCTGCCAGGACTTGAACCAGCATTGAAAATCCATAGCTGGCATGGTAGGTTGTGGCTTTACCTCCTATGCCTTAATGCTAGTCTCATCTTTTATGTCACTCACCTGCAGGGACTGCACCCTGACAAACGAGTTCCCCAAGCTTCTCTACTGGGTCTCCTCTCAGTGGCAGATCTCGTACACACCAGTGGTCCTTGGCCAAATAGTAAGAATTCCAAAGTACTGTTGGATGACTGATGGAGACATGAATAAGGTGCCCTGGCATGATGGTCTAATGAGCTAAACCTCCCCCTGCACACCGGCATCTCCTATGGGTGCCACTTGGAGTCCTAGCTGCTCCACATCTCACCCAGCTCCCTGTTTCTGCTCTGAAAAAGCAGTGAAGGATGGCTCAAGGCCTTGGGCCCCTGCATCTGCACCTGCAGGGGGACCCAGAGGAAACTCCTGATTCCCAGCTATAGACCAGCTCTGCCCATTGAAGCCATGCGAGGATTGAGTCAGCAAAATGAAGGTCTTGCTGTCTGTCTCTTCTCTCTCTCTCTACCCCTCTCTCTCATAAAAATAATAACTCTTTAAAAACGATGAATGAAATAAAGACCCTGATTTCTAAGGAAATTTTAAACGAGAGGCAATACATGTGGCTACAAAAGAGTGAATGAGAACATAGGTGTCTTTGTAATTTCAAAGTGCTCAACACACCACTCAACACAACTACTCAAGAAATAACTTTATTCATTCCTCTGAGCTTTTCAGAACATGCTCTCATCAAAGTGTGAAATTCAGATTGCAAGTAGCTCAGGCTTACTGCCCAGACCCTGTGCTGTACCTTCCCTGAGAACTGGTACAGTGTCTAACACATGATGAGCACCCACTACCGGTGTAATTAAAACAAATGGGGATAAAAAGCCAGAAATTGAATGGCCCAGAAATGAAGCCTTACAAGTGACAGCCAGCCAACTTTTTGGAAAAGGTGCCAAGAAAAGTCAATGGGGGAAGAAAAGTCTTTTCAACATATGGCACTGGGACAGGAGAATGTATATATGCAAAAGAATGAAACTGGGCCCCTACATCATATCATATAGACCATTAACTCAAAATTTACTTTAACCAAATCTACAAAATTTCTTTTTAAAAAATAGGAGTAAATCTTCAATACTTTTGGCTGAGAAAACATTTCTTTAAGGTCACACCAGAATTGCAAGTAACAAAGGAAAGTAATTCAGTTAGGCAACATTAAAATTAAAAAACTTTGTACTTTGAAGAACATCATAAATAAAGACAATCCCCACAAAATAGGAGAAAACATTTTCATATAATAGATGATAACCAAAAAATAAAAATTCTTACTCAACAAAAAAAGGACAATATGTACACACTGGGACCCTGGCTTAATATGAGGGGGCAGTTCCCCATCCCTGGGTACTGGGACATTTGGAAAGTCGTGTGTGACTGACGCCTTTGCCTCTCCCCTTGCCCCAGAAACAACAAGAAGAAATAGCAAAATTGTAAAGAATGAGTTCACCCAATTTCCCCTAAACCTTGATCCTTCTCACCTGATCAACCACGTAATCATTATAAAAAATAAAAATTGCTTAAACTAAAATTTTTAAAGATTTATTTTTATTGCAAGTCAGATATACAGAGAGGAGGAGAGATAGCAAGACCTTCCATCCAGTGATTCAATCCCCAGTGACCACAACGGCAGGTGCTGCGCCAATCCAAAGCCAGGAGCCAGGAACTTCCTCCAGGTCTCCCACATGGGTGCAGTAATTCAAGGGATATCCTCAACTGCTTTCCCAGGCCACAAGCAAGGAGTTGGATGGGAAGCAGGGAAGCCGGGATAAGAACCGGTGCCCATATGGGATCCCAGTGTGTTCGAGACGAGACTTTAGCCACTAGGCCACTGCACAGGGCCCAAATTAAACTTAAAAAAAAAAAAAAACAGGACAAATAACCCAACTTAAAAATGAGGAAAGGATTCGAACAGAAGTTCTCAAAAATTTTTTGACCAAAATATTGACTACATATAGCTTCTGATAATTTTACATCTTTCCATTTACTCTAGACAATCATTCACACAAAAGGAACATTAATCTCCATTAACAATAAGGAAATAAAGTTACCAGCTTCCACACAATTTCAGGCAGGTACACGGCTTACTAGTTAAATTCTCCCCTTGCAATGACCAGGATCCCAATGGGTGCCGGTTTGTGTCCCACCTGTTCCACTTTCCATCCAGCTCTCTGCTTATGGCCTGGGAAAGCAGTAGAGGATGGCCCAAAGCCTTGGGTTCAGCACCAATGTGGGAGACCCAAAAGCTCCCGGCTTCAGCTCAGCTCAGCTCAGCTCAGCGCCAGCCAATGAGGCTTCTTGGACATTAAACCAGCAGATAGAAAATCTTCCTCTCTGTCTCTCCTTCTCTCTGTAAATCTGACTTTCCAATTAAATAAATAAAATCTTTTTAAAAAGTCCAAACTTAAAGTTTTAAAAGTCAAATCACTAAGAATGTCAATGTGCTATTTTTATATACAACATAATATTTTTACATCACAGTATAAACACAGGTATTTTACATGCACAGAAAAGACTTAGATGAACACACAGCCACCTTCTAACTGTGATTACCTCAAGGGGAAGAGCAAGGTTTTAGTAGGCTGACAGGGCATGTGTCATCAGAGCTGTTTTTACAAGCTGTGAACTTTATGTAGCACTTCGAGTATCAGTATTGCCAATGTTTCATGATGCTTTACAACTTATAAAACCAGTTTTATATTATCTTAGTCCCTACAGTGTGTTAGACAGGTTTATAAACCTCATCTTACAAACAGGGACCAGTGCAATGTCTCAGCTGGCTAATCTTCCAAATCCAAATGCCAGCACTCCATATGGATGCTGGTTCATGTCCTAGATGCTCCCACTTCTCTTCCAGCTCCCTGTTTGTAGCCTGGGAAAGTAGTAAAGGATAGCCCAAAGCCTTGGGATCCTGCACCCACATGGAAAACCCAGAAAAAGCTCCTGGTTCATGGTTTCTGATCAGCTCAGCTCTAGCCATTGCAGCCACTGGGGGGTGAATCAGCAAAACCCTGCCCTTCCAAAACCAGCAACAACAAAAGCTTCAAAAGAGAGAGAGAAAGAAGCGTTAAGAGGATTTAACAACACAGAATCTCTGATTTCACTATGGAATTATAATTGTGGTCGTAAGTCTTCAGCAATGATCAACAAAACGCCAATGGAAATGAAGCTGTCTGAAGAGCCAGTGGGAGACACTTGACATCCATGTTTGCCAGCTGCAAATAACTTGAGAAATATTCTACGTTACTATAAATTCCATGGGATTCATTACACAAACCCTAAATCTCACAAAATGGCACATTTCCAAATGGCCATTTCCACTTTTCCTTACTCTAAAGCCAGTTCTTAAGGAAAATGTGCCTGGTCAGGAACACTGGGACACTAGGCCCAGCGCCGTGGCCTAACTGCTAAAGTCCTCGCTTTGCATGCACCAGGATCCCATACTGGTGCCAGTTTGTGTCCCGGTGGCTCTACTTCCCATCCAGCTCCCTGCTTGTGGACTGGGAAAGCAGTTGAGGATGGCCCAAAGCCTTGGGAGACCTGAAAAAGGCTTGTGGTTCCTGGCTTCAGAATGGCTCAGCTCCAGCCACTGTAGCCACTTGGGGAGTGAGCCAGCAGATGGAACATCTTTCCCTGTCTCTCCTTCTCCCTGTAAATCTGACTTTTCAATTAGAAGGAAAAAAAAGGATAAGAGACACTGTAGATCAATTCCAAGGTCCAAGGATAAGGACAAGGACAGAGCGAACCAGATCACCTCTCAAGCGACACGTAACGTCACATGCCAGCATGCACAGTGTCAGCTGTATCACTAGAGGGCACAGAAGAGATACAGTAAGAAGACAAGCTTTGCTTCCAGGTGACAGCATTCTTGTTGAGCAGGTTCCCACAGGACAGGTCATCTGCCTCCCTCCCAGCTCCTAAAGCACTCAGCAGCCAGCAGCGCGCCAGTGTCCTTCTCTGCGCTGTTATACAGCAGAGTGTCTCTGGCAAGACAACTCCCATGAACTGCCTTCCTCCTCCCTCGGGAGTGCCAATTTCTGGAAGATTTGCTAGCATGAGACCGAGAGCCTTTACTTCTCTGCCAGTCACAGCATGGTCTCTCCAGTAAGATCTAGGTCCAAGCCCCTGAGCGAGGTGTAAGGAGAATACTGAAAGGGATGGCTCTTCTTGGTTTTATCTTAGCCCAAAGGGTAGAAGATATCATACATTAGTGATATTTTCTCATATATCAAACATATACTTACACTGTGTCTGCTGTTTCATCTCCTATGCTTTAGTGTTCTCTTAATTCCCTGTAAGCCAGTATTTCAGAACTTCCACCTCCTGTTAGGCTAAATCTCTACAGCACTGGGCAGGAGGTGACATGGTACCCTAGAGCACATTCCACAAGGGTTCTGGCTCAAGACCCAGCTCCACTTCCAAGCCAGCTCCCTGCTGATGCCCTGGGAAAGCACTGGAAGATGAC